TAACAATAGAATTCAACAATAACAGCATAATCAACTAAATAGATAAGAATTAATAAAGCTTAATAATAATAATAATTAGAATGGAGGAGCTAGTGGAAAGGGAACATTAAAGAAGTAAAATTTGGAAAAGAAAGAGAAGGAAAATGAGAACCAGGAAAGAAAAATGAGATAATAAGTCCAATTAAAGAATAAAAGAAATTAATAGAATTAGGTAAAAATAACAGAGAAAGACAAACAAGAAAAAGAAAAATAAGAAAAAGAATAAAAATAAAGAGCAAAAGATAGAAAAAGTAACAAAAACAAAATGAGGGACGGGGATTTAGCTCAGTGGTTTCACTGCCTGCTGCACAAGCGCAAGGACCCGAGTTCGATCCCCAGTACCAAAAAAAAAAAGAAAGAAAGAAAGAAAGAAAGAAAGAAAGAAAAAGAAATGAGTCCAAAAAATGTCTCCATATGTTCAAGTAAGTGACTTCTTTCTAGGGCCTGAGGTATTGGAATCCACCAGATAGAGATGAATACTGTAGTGAATCTTAGCCAGGGCCTATTTTGTTTCTGTGCCCACGTTTTGCTGTGTTAATGCTGAGTCCTGCACTGAAGTTCCCAGTGGGCATGGTCACATCAGTGGTGGGGTGTTTGCCTTAGGGCATATTCATTCCAGCAGTTTCTAGTGTTTGTGCCCTTTTGTGTACCCACTATCTCCGACTAGCTTTAGGCCCATGGCAGTGGTGGCAAACCTTTTAGAGCTTTCAGTAATACAACCTGCTGTGGCACGTATGCCATAGGTTCACCACCACTGGCCTATGGGCTCCTGAGATGCTTCCTTTGCTGCAGAGGCCCCTCTGCCTATACACCCCAGGATGTGGCAATTGTCCAAGCCCAGGCATATCCTTGATCACAGTGGTAGATGGAAAAAGCAAAGGAACCACTGAACTCTGTGCTGGAAATAGCAAGAGGAGCCAAGCAGTCATCTGTACTTCATGTCAGCACTTTCAGACCCAGCCCCCTCAGAAAACTACATGACTGGCCTGGTTTTCACCACAGAGAGTGGGCCTGCCATGTCTTTTACAACTGGCTCTTGCTGCTGTTTAAACTTCTCAGGGGATCTGCAAGTAGCCTGCCCCGTTTCTGCAACTATTTCTTTTGGCTATCCTCCACCAGTCAGTGTGGTAGGGTGACCCTAGAAAAGCTGAAGTAAAGTTGTTCTGTGACTTCTGATAACTGAACCAGAAGTCTTAAACAAAAAATCCATTCCCCAAATGGCTTCTGATTATATCACTCCCAAGTAGGATGAGCACTGCAGTGAATTTCTTCTCCAGCTCCAGCCTGCCATGTGGAAAGAGTCACATTCAGTATAAAACTCCATCCTGTATTTGCAGTTTACAATACCATGAGCTTTTCTTGGGGCTGGGGCTGCTGGTCTGTTGTCTCTCTGTGGAGTTGCTGACCCTCTCTGGGCTTCCCTGTGTTTGTAGAGATAGGACCTCCTCCCCAAGAGCTGGGATTAGAGTTCCCGCCTCCTTTTCTCTGAATTATCTTCTGTTTTTCTATAGTTCGCTTTTTCTTGATTCACAGAATTCTAGTTCTTTTTCTCTTCTCTAAGTTGTTGTTTTCTCGGTGTTTTGAGTCCAGGTCTTGGAGTGGCTGTGTTTTGCTGTTGGTTTTACTCTATTTTTAATCTCCTTTGGCTTTGGTATAAGTCTCAGGCACATTTTTTATTCTTTGGATAAATTTTTAGAGAAATTAGTCAAAAATAAAAACATTTTAATATAAGTATTATAAAATTATCTTCACAGACAGATTTTACTGGTTATATACTTTTCCCAGAAATATGTATTTTGCTGCTTTCTGGCCAAGGGTGGCTATTAACATTCTTTTCACCTTTGCCAGTTTCACAGATGAAATATTTAATCAAATTTTGTTTTAGTTTTTATTCCTTTGATTATTCAGTAAGTTTGAATATTTTTCTGTGTACTGGCCATTTTTATTTCCTTTATTTTTTGAGCTGCCTATAAATGTGCTTTTATATTTTTCTGTTTCTTTACGTGTTTGTCTTTTTTTCCCCTGTATTGTTTCCAGAGTTCTGTATATAATAGTCTTGATTATCTATGTTGCCAGTATTTTTACCTAATTTATGTTTGTCTTTTCACTTTTTTTTTTTTTCCAGTACTGGGGATGAACAGGGCCTTTGCACTGAGCTACATTCCCAGACTTTTTTTGAGACAGGCTCTTGCTGACTTGCTAAGCAGGCTGGGCTCAAACTTGCACTTCTCCTGTCTCAGCCTCCCAGAGTATTGGGATTAGAGGTGTGTGCCACCACGCCCAACTTTACTTTAAAAAAAATTTTTTTTAAAAATAGTAGTTAAATTTCAGTGTGTGTAGGGAACAGGGAAAGGGGATGTTACTAGAACCTCTGCAGCAAGTCCTAGTCTCCTGTGAGCCACGGCAGGACAAGGCGAATTAACTTATTATAGAGGAAAGGTAGAAAAAATGAGACTGAGAAGAAGCTGAGCTTTGGGCCTGATCCACTGCTCTGGGAAGCAAAGACAAAGCGCCTGAGTTTGCCGCACCTTTTATTCAGTACATAGGGAGAAACAAATGTAACAGATAACTGGGGAGTGGCAGAATTCCTAGATCAATGAGGATCTATGCAGATGAAGATTTGGTTCCTCCCAGGATGTCTCCAGCAGGTGTGGTCTTGCCCTGGAGCATCACAGCCTCATGGGTTCATTGAGGTCTCAGTTGTGACTGGAGGTCAAAATGGAATCCTGTCTCGAAATGCCTTAGCTGGCCTGTAAGCAGGAGAACTAGGCCTAATCAAATGGTTTTTCCCTAAAATTATGTAGCATTGCTCCCGACAAGTCTGGTAGGAGTAGTAAAGTTATTTTTGTCTTGAAACTTATGAAATATTTGGGGTTTTTTGAGATAGGGTCTCACTATTTTTAGGCTGTCCTTGAACCTAGGTTTTAAATTTAAGATCCTTCTGCCTCAACCTCCCTGAGGTGGTCTTACAGGTGTACGATATGGTGTGGGGCCCTAATCATGTAATTCAAATTGGGGCAGGAGCCACTGAAGTTTAGCATGGTTAAATAACTTACACAAGGGTACCTTCATTGTCCTTCCACTCATGTAGAGTGAAGCTGATATTGAGAATATTAATTAAACAAAATAGTTGGTTTAAGGTAAAGGTCAGCGGAGAGTGCTCCAGGCTCTGGTTTCAATATCCAGGACCAAAAAAAAAAAAAAAAGAGGGGAGGGGAGAAAGGGCAGAAATAGGATGTGTTCACTTGCATTAGCACAAACACTTGAAAAGTATAGTCCTTAGATGATAAGTAGAAAATACAAATCTAAAAAATGAAGTCACAAGAGAAAATGATTTTTGAAAATGAAAAATATAATGATCTTAGCACCCAGCTTTACTGGTTTGATTTATGTGATATATGGGACATTTTTCTGTTTTAGATTTCATTTATTTCTTCACAGCAGTAGTTGCTGCTGGAATGTTGCATTTTTATAAAGAACTCTTTTCTGTAGAAATATAGATACTAAAATAACTTTTTTTTTCAGAGCAGGGTATGGTGGTGCATGCCTATAATCCCAGCACTTGGGAGGTTGAGACAGAAGGATTGTTGTGAGCTCCAGGCCAGACTGAGCTACATAGTAAATTGAAGCCCAGCCAGAACTACATAGTGAGATTCTACCTCACCCTCCCCTAAATAAATACATAAATAACTTTCTTTCAGATACCTACATAATGATTAAGGTACCACCAATCCATCCCTGTCTGTCTATCTCTCTATCTATCTATCTCTCTGTCTGTCTATCTATCTAATCTATCTACCAGTTGTTGTGCCCAGATCGGGAAGTCCCCAAAGACCACCAAGGAGCCGATTCCGATGTAAACACACGAGGGTCGTTTATTCAAGCTCCAGCAGGGGCACTCAACTGTCACCGTCACCGACACAGCGGATCAGGATTGAGAGCCCCGAATTTCAAATCAGGGTTTTTATTGTGGCTACAGCAAGGTTTGGGGATTTTCCATTTAGCAGTTACATGATTGGTTGATATTTAGCAAGCATGGGGTGTACATGGGGGGGGGGTTGAGGGGGTGGCTACATGTAGATTTTATAGGAAAAAGGAACAATCAGCACATTGACAGAATGTTCTATAGATAACGGGCCCCGGGAGCGTCTGTTTTCTGGGCAGACAGAGGATTGAGTTAGGAGCTGTGTCTTTTTTTTAAATCTGTTGTCCCACAGCAAGGACATTTTATCATTATTTTATGGGCACAAAGGAGACTAGGGGAATAGCTGACTTCAGTGAAGTGGAATTTATGTCAAGGCCACTTTACTGTCTTATTCCAAGATGGAGTCAAACTTTAAAATGGAGTTAGTTAGGTCTCACACCAGTCATCTGTAGTATCTAAGACAGGATCTCACTATGTCACCCAGTCTGGCCTCAAACTCCTAGACTCAAGAGATCCATCTGCTTCAGCTTCCTGAGTAGCTGAAACTCCAAGCATGTGCCACTATACCTGGCTTCTACTTTTTTTTTTGTACTGGGGGTTGAACTCAGGACCTTGGGCTTGCGAGGCAGGTGCAGTGCCACTGAGCTAAATCCCCAGCCCTGGCTTCTACTTTTTTTTTTGTACTGGGGGTTGAACTCAGGACCTTGGGCTTGCGAGGCAGGTGCAGTGCCACTGAGCTAAATCCCCAGCCCTGGCTTCTACTTTTTTTTTTTTTTTTCCTGGCTTCTACTTTTAATACAGTAAAATTTCACCAGCTCTACTTACTTTCTTGATTATGATTGTCATTTCCAAGCCATTGACCAGATATGGGACACCATTAATAGTAGAGATGTCATTTCCTGCCTCTGAGGGATCAGTTGTAGAAATGACATTAAAATAGTGACATTTTAGGGAATTTTAAATGAGAGTGAGCAGGAAGCATGTACCTGAAAACAAGTTACCATCACCAGACTAATTGTCTCTTAACATACTTTAGATGCCTATCCATGAAAAAGAAGCTTCAGAGAAAGAAGTGATTCTTCTGGCAAAGATGAAACATCCCAACATTGTAACCTTCTTCAGTTCATTTGAAGGTTAGGTTTTCTAGTATTTTTAAAGTTTCTAATTTAACTATAGACATGCTGACTTACATAAAAGATATGTACCTGAATATTATGTATAAATTAATTTTTGTAAATGGGTTCACTTTCCTAGTTATCTTTATTTCCTCTCTAGTCCATTTTTGTTGACAGCTTTTCTCTTTTATTTTGTTTGTTTGCTTGTTTGTCACAAGGTCTCGCTGTGCACCCCAAGCTGTCCTCCAGCCCCCAGTCCTTCTGGCTCAGCTCCCCGACTGCTGGGATTGCAGGTCTTGCCACCATGCTCCACTATGGTTTTAATTTTTTTCCCCTTGCATTCATTCTCAGTCCCTCAACAGTCAATGATAGGTGTATTAGATTTGCAGCAATAACAACTTCCAAATTTCACGGGCCTACACTAATACACATCTGCTTCTCATTCATATTACATGCTGGCTGTGGGTTGGCTGGGGTCTGAAGCCTGGGTTCGAGGCTGAAAGGACAGGCTCAGACTTAGTGTCCTGTGAGGGTGAGAAAAGAAGACACAGGCCCCATGGCACTACTCTCATAGGATGTGTGAGGCCCTGCATGTCTTGTTGTTACTGGGCTCTGAGGTCCTGGGAGTCTCCTTCTAGAGGTGGTTTCTGGGTTCTTCTTATGTTAAACAATGAATTAGACAAAACAAGCACAAAAGGTAGCAGGGTTTTACCTTTCCTCTAAAGGAAGGAAAAGGAACAGTCTCTGCACAGCAAGTTTGGGACAAGTGAAAGTAGGAACAAGCACACTCGACAGTGTGAGAGCAGACTGCTTTGAAAGCTAGAACACAGTAGCTGTGCTCAGTGACAGCTGTCTTTTTGTATCACTCACTATTAGAGCTGACATCAGGTTTTGGTCATTCTATTCAAAACTGCTTAGGTTCCTTTCCTTTATTTTCTTTTTAAAAAAAATTTATATATTTATTGGTACATTTAAGGTATACAGTATGTTTACATTTATCATTGGGTGCTTGTCCCTGTACATGATGTATCTT